TTTTTGCAATTGCTTAATACACATACTAACGAAAATCTCTGTCCAAGAGACATCGTTACATTTACTTCAATATTATATACATATTATATATCATTGACTAATACATATGTTATTTCAATCCATCTTGTAAACGTTTTTGTTAAATTCTTGGCTGTTAATATTTCTATTAAAAATGATTTTCAATTGTGTCGAATGCTTTCTCTCGGAGAAAGGCCAATAAAATTCCAACCTGTACAATTTATTTCAATGCATTGTATATTACTTTATATTGAATACAAGTTATCAAAAAATACTTTCCTCTTTTTCATCCATAATCTGCTTTTATCACCACCATTACATTTTTTATTAAGAATTTAGTTAATGTTTTACAATTTTGACACGAAAGACTTAATATCGGTCTACATGGCTTTATGTCCTTTATTTTTATACATCAGTGTTGTCACCCCCGTTTTCATGTTATATGTTTAAAATTCGCCATCAAGATAAATATTGTTCAATACATCTGTTAAATCATCTTAATCAATTTCCAGAATTTCCGATAACCGTTTTTCAACAACCCATACACCCTGGTGCATTGTCATTTGCAAATTCCTTAATATTTCCAAACATCAATATTTTGTTAGAAAAGTTACTAGTTTGTTTTATCATCTCCTGTTAATTTTAAATCTATAATGTACTTATATAACGTGTTTTTTTCTCTATATTTTGACTTTTATATATGTCCTTCTAAAATTCTGTTAGTGTGTCTTTAACTTTTTCTTTTTTGTTGTTCAAGTGTATTTTACCTTCTTCTGCAAAAGCAAAGTCAATTTCCTTGTTTTCTCTGGGTTAGACTACAAGTCAATATTGTTATCATCTTCATCGAAATATTTTTGTCTTAATTTTTATGATTATCCCCATATTTAGTTTCTTCTCAAGTTTAACTTTGTTCTCACTTGTGTCTTATTCTATGATATTTTTGTCTAATATTTTTATTCCTCACTTTCAAACCTTTTATATTATGAGGTCAGTCCCTCTATCGGTTGTTTTAATTTTTTTTAGATAGAATTGACACCCCCTTATCCTTTTCTTTAAAGTTACATATGAAAACAGTATAAAGTAAAGTAACAACAATGCAGAACTACAAAGAAAATTAAAAACAGAAAGTCCCTTATCAAATGGTAAAATCAAAAGCTCAAACATATCAAACGAATGGAAAACAACTGTCATATTCCTGACTTGGTATAGACATTTCCTAATGTAGAAAATGGTAGATTAATCCTAGTTTTATAGCTAGCTAAACCTCTCACTTGTATGACAGTCACATAGAATTCCATTAGTTTGACAACAATGTGTAAGCAAAACAAACAGACATGATAGGAAAAAATGTAAAAAATTGGGGTACAGCAGTCAACATTGTGTTATAATTTTGATCGATATACCGTTCATTTTTCCAAAAGTCTCTTATGCAATTTTCCTTAGTTCTTGGCTCATTTCATATTTTAACCGTATGTATGTTTGTACTTGTATGTGATCACTATATCTCTAACGGATATGTCATGTCCTATGCGTGTTACCTTATTGTTTTTCGTGTATTAAGGCACGCACATATGTTAACTATTTTTGACCTACTGCTTGTACTCCAAGTAGAGCTAAAAAATGTCAAGTTAGGATATTCACATCTAAATATATCTGTTACACTGAACTTTTTACACACCTTTCTATAGAACTGTAGCACGTTATTATATATTTATTAGTATCTGCTGTATTTCCCCCGCGATTAAAAAGAGACAGAAGACACCAAAGAGACAATCAAACATAGTAAGTCGAATATATTAAGGCGACAGTAGTTAACCAATGTTCAAATCTCGTAGTAAAAAGACAAGGCAACAACTGAAGGAATTGCATAAACTCCAAAGTAGCGAACCAGATGTGTCGACAAAGTAAGTGTCTCCTGCAATGTTACCATCACCGTCTATGCAAAACCACACTCAATAAAGACGTCACATTCGGGATTAGGGCATCATCGGTAAGATTACAGATCATTTGACTCGTTTCTAAAGATCTTAGACCGCGAAAACATGTCGCTAGTGATTTTAAACACACCGTATCGGTCAGCCAATTCGTAAAAGTGACCATAAAAGTTATGTAGTGTCGACCTCAGTCGTTATTCTTCATATCTCTGTCGGAGCAGTTGTTTAAGGTAAGGAGCATATCCCTGTTTATGAAGTCCGTATAATGTGAACATGCACGAACGTAACACGATTGAGCATGGGGAATAGTAGTGTAAAGCGTAGAAAAAATCAAAGGTTTTTCATATCACTGCAAAATTGTAAAAATAGTGATTGACGATTTAAATTGGATCTTTTTATTCTAGTATTTTCTTTTTAATCCGCATCTGATTGATACCGCTGATTGAATATACCTTATCACAATATTCACGAAGCTCATCTTTTACTGCAGAAAGAATATTGGTAAGAACTTTATTAAGATGTTCAGTAAAACATATTGATGACGTGGCTATATATATCGTTCTCTATAAAGATTTTTGTAAAGTTTAGTATAACGATAGGAGATTTGCATACTCCTTTTTTATGTACAAAAGGAAAGAGATACGGATTTTTGAAATTTTAAAATCTTCTCTTTCGTGAATGATGTACATTAGCCATTTTCTGTCAAAGTCCCCGACCGCATCTATCAGAAACCTAAAGTTCTTCTAAGCTGCCAGTTGATGGACAGAAGAATTCTAAGGTTTAGCCTTGGATAACAACTTTCTGAATTGTTCATCGTTTACTATGTCGAGGTCTCCAGTTATAACTTAACCAGCGGAACTATATGAGTATGGGGATTGGGGACAAGAGAAATCGGGAGGTTTGAATTTAACTTCCCTGAGAGTAAAGGTCTCTAATACTCTTCTTGTGGGTGACAATTTTGGATGCAATAGATTTGGGTTAGGTACATGAAATGACAGGTATAGTTTTATCTTTGAAGGAATCCGGTATTGTTTTCAAGAATCAGATTTTTGCTGGAAAATATTGCTGATATGATTGCATTCAAAACATAATTAGCAAATTATACTTGAAAAAAACTACGTTTTTGTTCATCTTTCGAAGTAGTTGTCATGAGTTTGAATAGCCAACAGTTAGCAATATCCATAATTATTAAAACCAATCTGTACTAAGCAGAATTTGTATCAATGACTGAAGTGTTTTGGTCTCTTTAAAATAATGAGGCTACTAAAATTATGTATTTGAACACTTATAAAACTTTTGTTCAACAGCGTCATCATATAATTTGTATTTATTTACCTTGTTTGAAGAAATCTTAAAGTTTGTATTATTTTCAATGTTTTTAATACTACTTTAGTTCTAATCACAAAAGTTAAAAAGGCCAAATAAAGTACGAAGTTGAAGAGCACTGAGGACCCAGAATTCCGAAAGGTTTTGCCAAATACAGCTAAGGTTATCTATTCCTGGGGTAGAAAATCTTTTGTATTTCGAAAAATTCTAAAATTATGCCATTTCCATAGTTTTTTATAATGTTATCTGTTTTGCCATCAATTTAAGACTAAATTTGTTAAGACTCCTTGCCAAACTTCTCTCTTAATTACATAATAAGAGTGTTAGTAATTTGCATAACATATAGATTCTTAATGCAAGGAGTCATGTTTTCGTTTATTTTTTGCGTGTTCCTTTTTTATGCCTTCTCCAGTTGGTGTTCTTTCTCGTTTCTTTTTGACAGTTGTTTGCTTACTCTTGATTGTTCTTGTGTGAACCTGGATTTGAACCTTGTTTTGTGTCCTTAATACATGCTTCCGAATGCTTCCCATTTTTATTTTCAACATTGCCTCTACTTATTTGACAGCTGATTCTTTTCTTTTCTGTTCTTATTTTATATTCTCTTTATTTTCAATAATCGGCTTACTGCTGATATAGATATTTTTCAAGTCAGGTTAAATTTGCTTAAGCGCTAATCCCCACTGTCGATCATTAATTTATAGTAAATTACATAATTTTTTAACTTGCACCAATAATAATGTATATAATTACCGAAATATAATGTGTCCTTTTATGTGCAACACGAAGTCACAAGCTTGACCAAAGGTAGACAACTAACACTTCTACGGACTTTATTCGTGAAAAGTGCATTTAACATACTCATTTTTTAAAATAGATATTGATCAGCTAAGAAATATTTTGCTGTGACATTTTTATCATTTTTAGAAGGATTTCTTTTTTTTTTTTGTAGAATTACAACTAATTTCTAAAGTTATGTGATTAACATTGTGGTCATCATAGCGTGTTTTCAAACGCAACTTTGTGATAAGGATCTGAGAAATGCATTATTCCTTCCGATGTCTTTAGGCTTGATCAATAATCTCGAAAGGTTCTTTGGTTTATTCAGAATTAAGTAAAAGTGAGAGCCTTCATAGGACACATCCCAAAGAAAGTCGAGCACGTGCATGGTTCACTTCAAGTTGGTCATTCTTAAACTTGCGGAAAAGATGGTATACTGCAAACATGAGGTGCAAAAATTTGTACACCATATCCGGATTTCGACAATTATATATATGAGGTTTAGTCCACCATTTTCTACACAAGATAATGCCTGTACCAAGTCAGGAATATGACAATTGTTTTCCATTCGTTTGATCTGTTTGAGCTTTTGATTTTGCCATTTGATAAGCAACTTTCCGTTTTGAATTTTTCCTTGGAGTTCGTTATTTTTGTTATTTTACTCTTCAATAGATATTTTGATATCGGAATATTCGTCTATTTTGTAAGTCTAGCGATTGTGTCCTATTCCCGATCGTAACATTTTGACTGAGAGTGCCGAGTTTTCAAGAAAGAGACGCCTGTCGACTCACATATGTTTTTAAAATTTTGTGACAAGGGTTTCCTTTTAAGGGTAATGTCAAAATTCAAATAGACAAATAGATCCTGCTAAAATTATTGAACAAATCAAAAACAATGCTCACAGTAATATCAATTACATAACAACAGATAGAAATAATTATTTGATTTAATTTTAAGACGTGTAAAATAATTTGATATCAATTTGAAAATATATATTTATGTGTATAATGATAAAAATCTATATACATTGCATCTGTTAAGGTTTATGTACCCTTGTGTTGATTCAATGCTAAACATATGGAAATTTTATAGAAAATCCACAGTCTTTCCCCCTTGTACTCTTATATTTGGCAATTCGGTACTTGATAGATAGAGGATTATCGCATGCAGTGCTAGCAATGATTTCTTTAAAACAAGTTTATATATTTAGATATTGGTTAAAATAAATAAAAATATGGATCAATTCAAGTACACCTTCTAGGGTACGCTCGACTTTAGTGACTCAGCACGAGGTGTTTTTGAATTTAAAGGTTGTTTAGGACTTTTTGTAAACAATAAACGCTAGCTGATCATAGAAAAACAAGTGAGTAAACTATGTTTCAAATTTTATAACAAAAATCTGTATTAGAGTCTGTAGATTTTCTACAAAATTCTTGATTTTATTTTCATCAAATTCCCTTTTTCTATTAGATGCAATGAAACTATAAATAATTATGCTTTGCACGAAGTTTCCCCTCAATATATGTACAAAATGACCCATCTTTATTATTCATTATATTTGCTGTTTTGATGCTATTGCAATTTGAAAAGTTCATAATTCACAGGCCACAGAAGGGGTCATAAACCTTAAATACATGTCGTAAGTTAAAAGTTTATTTACATCATAAATACTTCTACAGAATTTTGCATAATAGATTTATGCTGTAAAATAGACACCAGTTTCATATAAATTGATATAGAATCAACCACTTATCTGAATTTGATTTACTGCAGTGCATATACATTGGACCATATTACATACAAATTCAAGTAAATGTACACGAACATCCACAATACGTATATTACTATGAGACAGACTTTCGTTGTAGGGACTATCTTGTTGCATAGACATATCAGCTGCTTTCGTGGTCATTGCTGAGCAAACTTATACCTATAAATAGAAATATCAAGTCAAAATTTCTGTTTAATCAGAGACTTGTGTGGTGGAAACGCGCATATGGTGTTCTTAATTAAACTCCTTTTGTATCATTATGTGTTTTGTGTATTTAACATTGTTTTATATTTTACCTAAAAGACAAAACTGTGAAATCAATAAACAAAGTTTGCATACTATAAATAAAGCATACTTCAAAAGAAGCAATAGAATTCATCAATCTTATTTTGTATAATTTATACTGAAACTCAAATGGGCTTGAAGTAAAAACTTGATAAAATGGAAATGATTTCGTTGACAATTTTCAGGACAACACCTAAATCTCCTTTTTATATAATTGATATCTTGTTCACATTAAGCTTCAGTGTTTTGATAGTTGACACAAATGTTCCATTTTTTTCCTAGTTCGTTAATTCAAATGAGATTGGCATGTGTCAGTTGTATATAGATGCATTAAAAGGTATTAACAAAATTATCGACCTCCAATGTAAGTTCAAAAAGGGTAAGTCCGTAAAACCTGCACGATACTTTACGTAATGTAGTAATGTTTGCCTATTTATTGAATTATATGTATTTACCACAACAGAATACTGAAACTTATTTACCTGAATTTGTTTAATTTTTGATTCTGCTCCTTGTGGTTCATTTGCAGATGAATATGTATTGCCAGATGTAGTTGCTAAAGATTGATCTATGTCGGTTTCTGTTTCTATAGAGTGCATTTCAACACGACCTGGTTCTCTCTGGAACTATATGTTAAAAATGTATAAACTTAAATAAAAATATGATATGGTCATTTGGTAAAAAACAATCTTGATTTCCTTAAGACGTTTGCCTTTTTAGTGAAAACTGAAAGTATAAGATACTAGTTACGTATGTTATTCATTTGCAACAAACAATTTCTATTTCAACAGTGTATTGAAAATTATAAACTTTTACTCTCTATTGTAATAAAATACTTCTTAAAGTCTCATTTCAACTCACCAGATTAATAGTATTAAGTTCGTTTGCAATGATCACGGCTTCATGCACTGTGTAATAAATAGGGTTATAATCTACAGAGCGGTAAAATTCTGTTCTCTTTAACCAGTCTCTTACGTCCTCTGCTAAAAAAAATACGAATTTAGGTAACACCTGAGCAAAAAATGTAGATATTTATCTATCAAATATATCTATGATGTCTTAATGTAGCTGCTTTATTTTGTCATCCTAATCTCGAATACTTATTCTGCACAGTTCTTCATAACCATCCGTATGCTACGAAACACATAACTATTTCTTATCATTTATAAAAAAGCCTTTTTGGAAAAACATAATAAAAAAGGCTACGAAAGGATCCATTGTACACTATTGCTAGGTCAATGTCGAACTCCTTCATTTTTTACAGAAGACCATAACGTGACTCTTGCTCGTATATAACTTTAATGCGTCCTTACAAAAGAGAGACGAACAATACCAAAGAAATATTCAAACTCATAAGTCGAAAACAAACTGCCATGGTAAAATAAAAACGACGAAAAGACAAACAGTAGTACACAAAATACAACATAGCAATCTAAAGACTGAGCAACACGAACTCAATCAAAAACCTAAGATGATCTCAGATGCTCCGGAAGGGTAAGCAGATCCTGCTCCACATGTGGCACCCGTCGTGTGGTTCATATAAATACAAAGCAAGTGATAAGTCTTATTCGGTAGGTCATATGCAAGGAAAAGAGGACGTAATTGTGGTTACAACAATTGGAATATATCCGTCGTCATCTGTGAAACAGATACTCAATAACGGTCAACCAACTCGAGATGGCGTCTGTAAAATTTTCGAAGGGATGATTTCAACTTCACCACGTGAAACTCTTGGTTCAATAGCTTCCTTGTAAGCAACAATCCTCTATCAAGAAAATAGGAAATGCAATCCTATGAATTTCGTATCAACTGGAAAATATACTCCATATGCAGGCGCTGCTGAAATGTTGCTACATAGAAATTGAATAGAATGGAAAGTTCATCTCTTTCGTTCTAAATTTTGTTCTCAACATACCTTATTGTCAATGTCTAGATGTAAGACAAGATATGAGGCAGACATAACTGTATCTGGTGTATCCTTTATTTCAAGTTCGATGGGATAGATGCGTTCGATGGGATAGATGCGTTCAACATAGTCACCAAACATTGAATTATTTAGTGAGAGGACATAATCTATATAGCAGAACATGAAGTTAAAGAATAATGCTACATGTCTTGATCCTTAAAATATTTGCTCCATTTGGTTTTAAGTAAAAGTTTTTTTCCAAAGTTTCCACTTTTTGAAACCAATCAATATTTCAATTCACCATTATGATTGTCAAAAGCCAGTTCAAATGTCTTTGGTCATAGAAGTCTTTAGTTTTCTATGAAGTGTTTGAAGTCTGTTGTTTGTCTTTTTGTCGTTTATCGTTTCTTGCCATGGTCTGATCTCTTTCTCTTCGATAATGAATTTTGATTGTTCTCTTGGTATTCTCCGTCTCTTTCTCTATTTTTTAATAATATACGGAGCAAAGATATTTTGGGGTTGCTTTTGGATATTTATTCTCGACGCTTTAGAGGATCTGATGTGTTTGCTGTAAGGTGTGATTTTTAATTCATCTGCTGTCTGCAACTGATGCATTCTGAGTATTCTAATATATCATGTCGTATTACCTCCTTTACACTAACTCACACGCATATATATATATATATTTTGACTCCTCAAAATTCAAGAGTCTATCCTAAATTGAGGTAAATTATGTGGCCTTCCAATAACCGTTTTGATTCCTAACATCACCGAAGAGACATTAATTGTCGAAATCCGGATATGGTGTACAAAAATATTTACACCTTTTTTTGCGGTATACCATCTTCGCCGCAAGTTTATTGTTTTCTGTTTGGTATTAAATTTATAATTAAGATCCATTTATTACACCTGGTGATCCGTTTATTTGGCAATCGCCAATGGCAGTCAGCAACATTTGTTGTTCGACCTGTTAGTCAAATGCGTTTTGTTAAAATATACTTTTTCACTTTTTTTGGTCTTTTGGAAAATGTGCTGTATTTAGACCCCTCTACCAAGAAATTTGTTTTGAATGCACACGTATAAAAATTGCGGTTTTTATCCAACGCAATCATAGGTTTAAACGTTGTTTTCAATTTAGACTTGTTTATATTTTTCGTTTGGGCTTGTATTATATTTGCCTTCGGGTTTATATGATCCGTTCATCCTATTTCGACTCTTCAAAATTCAAGAGTCAATCCTAAATTGAGGTAAATTAACTGGCCTTCCAAATACCGTTTCGATTCCTATCATCACTGAAGGGACATTAATTGTCGAAATCCGGATATGGTGTACTAATTTTTGCACCGTAGGTAGCAATAAACAATTAGGAAAAAATATTAAAATTTTCCCTCATAAATTTTACCATCCTCTTTTCATTGCCTTCTTGCAATATTAAGCTTACTGTTTGTGTCATATATGTGCATATGTATGTAATCAGAATCTTCCATAGATTTCATATCCAGTATATAAAATGGTAAAATATAATTTCTTTTTGTTGTATCCATGGCAACAATCTGCATTTTTTGTTATAAAATATAGCAAAAAGGGAGGAAAAGATGTCACATATTTCCCCAAAATTTGGCCAAAAGTAGAATTTCAATCACTTCAAGTAATACCTTTTCTGAAACTGTTTACATATATCTTTCAATAAATCCAATGAAAATCATATGTCTTTCGTCTCATCTTTTTGTAAAATTGCGTCAGAAACTTTGTGTAGAAAAAAAGTGTTTGTAAACATTACATTAATTTCTGGACCGATGACCGGTCTAGCTATGAAAATACGGAGAGTCAAACAGAAAATAGCCCATAAAACATAAAAAAAATAATCTTAATGTTCTTATAACTCACCTTTGAAGGCTAAATTAGTACTCAGCTGTCTAAAAATGAATTTCATTACACAATAACTTTCATATTTGAAAAATCCACCGCGGCCAAAATGCGAAACCAAACTCCTAACTGTGTATTGCTACCGTATGTTTGCGGTATACCATCTTTTCCGCATGTTTATTGTTTTCTGTTTGGTATTGAATTAATAGTTAGATCCATTTTGTTACATCTGATGATCTGTTTATTTGGCAATCAATATATATATATACCAATTCTAAAAATCCATAGACTATATTTCATATGAGATTCATATTTTATACTTTCAAGATTTCTGCAAATATTGGTCTTGATGGCTTCTTCTTCTGGAACTATTTATAAGATAGCAGATGTTTTGTTAAACTAAATAGTTGATTTACATAGGAACTTTGCATGTTTTGATACACAAGCCTTATTAATCTACCTTAATTTGGTTTTTATTTGTAAATACCTCTACATCCAGCAAGGAATATTTTAATTCCAATTTCTTTAAAATCTGCAAATATCTGCAATTGAAAGATTTGTTTTCATAATATATGAAATATAATTTTGTGTTTATGTTCTGAGGCTATATAAATCAATAGAAAATAAATATATTTTAAATTAAATACAATTACTAAAAATATTAAGTCATTGTTATTTTTTTCTATTTTTAAGACACCTTTTAGTCTTTACATCTCCTCTGCGGTTTCGCTTTTTGACTTTGTTCTACAGATGATTCATTCAAAGCTGCACGGGAAACAATGTACGTAAACAATGTTTATTCTTCTTAATAAAAATTCCACCCATTAGTACATGCTTAACATATACAAGCATGGCAAGATTGATTAAATCACACACTTTTGTCCTAATAAAATTTTCTGTCCAAGGAATATATTACCTTCGCTGTATTTGGCAAAACCCTTCGGAATTTTAGGTTCTCAATGCTCTTCAACTTTGTACTTGATTTGGCTTTTTAACATACTTGATTCAAGCCTCACTGATGAGTCTTTTGTAGACGAAACGCGTTTATAGCGTACAAAACTATATGCTTGGTATATTTGATGAGTTTTTTTTATGCATAAAG